CAAATAAAAGCGCTAGAGGGGTCTGAAAAGTCGCTAAATATAGCCAAATAAAAGCGCTAAGTTAGCAACACTGCTCTTTGCATGGTTTGTTTTCAAATGGTTTGCTGCTGTCTGTTTGGACCTTTCTGAACATGTGCAGCAAATGGACTGATCCAATATGGTGGACACTGAAGGGGGAGGGGGGGGACACAGTAATATAAGCGTTCTGATGGGACATAATTAATGTCCGCAAACAACTGAATCGTTGTATTAACCATACATGGAAACAGAGTTTTATGGGCCCCCAGGAACAGGAATCAGAAACAGACCCGTGTTTTGGCCAAAACACTGGTTCATACGCAAGTGTTTTGGCCCACCTATAGATTCTGCAGACAGACAGCTAAACATTTACCAAAAACTGCTTTAAGTGCAGATAATGCTCTGATGGGTCGTTACCTTTGGGCTGGTGTAGGTTAATCTCAAATCTGAGACTGGGACCTTCAGCAGCCTGTAGAGCAGCCCTTTTACCTTCTGAATCACCATAGAAGCTGCAGAGGAAAACCATGTTAGGATAAGACAGAGAAGAGGTTAGCTGATGGCAGGCTGCAGGCCATCTTCTTACCTGGTAGCTTCTTCTCTATGGGTTTCTGCTCCGCTTCAGGAAACACAAATGTAATCTCTAAAAAATAACGTGCAGAACATTCAATGATCAGAGAGAAGGTTTCTAAAGCAGGAGGTTCAGACACTGAAGAGCAGAGAGAAACAACAGGCAGGACTGACTTAACAGCTGGTTTTTCAAGGCAAACGGTTCTGGCTTCTTCAGTTCGCCTTCATCAGCGGCTCCATACTCTGAAAACACAAACACAGGTTTTACTGAAACCTGGCTGCAGGATCAAATCCCAGCCACCATCCAAAGGAAATAACCAGCCTTTGTTAAGGTCTGCTTTGGTCCTGATGGACAGCCGTAAATCCAAACGTCGGCTGGGACGGCTTTGTTTTAGTGTCAGATTTGTTTCTTCTGGCCTTTGCCAGTCAAACATCTATTTTCAGTCAGACTGACCAGCGTTGTCATCTATGCTGTAAATGGATGTTCTGTGAATAAACAGCTTGGATTGAGGATATATATACATGTGGATTACTCTGGATAAGTCTTTGGTAAGTTGGGTGCTGCAGGGTGAACTCCACGCTGGGCTGGCCGGGCCCTCCTGCCTTCAGCCACTCCTCTCCAAACATCTTGATATAGTCAAGCTCCGCCCCTTTTCTTTCTGCAGGGTTGATCTAAGAGAAAACAGCAGAAATAACTGTCAGCCGCAGGGATTGCCAACTTTCCTTTGACTTGCAACAGGTTGCTGCTCCCTGTGTTTCCTGCACATTATCAAGGACAGCTTTTTTCATTCCTTGAGTAAAATCTGAATAAGCATCTAAGTTTACACTTTGTTCACAGAGTAAATAGGATGCGTCTCATCAGCTGATAAGGTTCTCATCACCTCCTCACCACATTGAGTCCCCTAAGCAGAGCTGCTTCCTCCATTAACAATTCAGTGACTTCATCATCCTAAAAAATAGTCCAAAATGTGACTAGGAGCAGAGAGTCGTTAAATGGCAGCCCTCTTCGCAACAGGCGGAGAACAAACAGATGGAAAAGCCAACAGGAACGAGGGCCATGTGTGCGCCAAGGCTAACATACCTCGCTGTTGTTCAGGTAGAGCAGCTGTCCAAGTTTGGCAATAATCATCTGGTTTACAGTGTTCAGGTTTCCATCTCTGCTCAGCAGCTTGTTGTTACGACACGATAACTTCACCAAGTCGGGCAGCTTGGTCAGATCATTAATGACACGCCACTGAAAGACAGACACAAACTGTGATGTCATTAGGGCTACCTGACAGCACAAGTTCAACCTGGCTTGACCTTGGCCGCACCTCAGAGATGCTGTTGTGGTCCAGATTGAGACTCTTCAGGGATGGAAAAGCTGCTGTGCAGCTAGCTGCAGAGTAAAGTTTCAGCATTTTGGAGGTGAAACAAAAAAAGGACAGATTAAAATCCAAATATACACCTAAACACAAACACTCAGAAATCCATCAACTGAGGAAGGTTCTAGGTAGATCTTCCAAATCTAGAAACAGGTTAGAACACAGTCTAATAAATTACTATAATAGAATGATCTATGTAAGCTAGCGTTGGCCAGTTGCCTAGCAACGCCATGACCAGTACCCACCTGGTTATTAGGATGACGACCAATTTAAATCTTTGCATGTTTGTCCTGCCCTCAGTCCATGTTTGTTTGGTGTGAATGCTAATGCTCACTGAACCATCCATGCTCTTTTCCATAAGTTTAAAGAGCTACTACGGTCTGTTAATGTTAGCCAGCTACAGACTGGCTAACATTGTTATCGCCAAGCTACCTCATTCTCGGCCATCTGGTTGTAGCCATGTTGTGAATTAACACTTTCTTTTGGTGTCACTATATTTTGATGAATCCCTCAGTCATTGCTCATTTTTTACTGTTTTAATTGAATCCAATATCTCTGCGTCAGAGTTTTTCACATTAATTTGTTGCCATTTTAAAAAAGACTTTCATGCATTAAGCCTTAAAACTTGAACATTCCTCAGAGACTCTTGAACCATTTTCCCGTTTTGTTTAATTTATTTACTGGTGCCTATTTTCAGTAGTGTTTAGTGTTTGCATAGTTAATATATACAGTAATACTGTGTGATAATTATCTGATAAAGGTACAATTGTATTTAAACTCCTGATCTTTTGTGGTTATTTTATGCCGGGAAATGTATCCCTCAGGTCAGATCCACCCTCCTTTGGTTAATATTTGGATGAACAGAGATAATTTATTTACTAAATTGATAAAGGCATCTGGTTTTTAACAGCTGATCCAGAAGTCCAACCTTTATGTGAAACACTACAAACCTCAGTCAGTAAGCAAATGAAAGTTATACTGATTTAAATAATCATCATGAACTATTAACTATAACTTCCAGTTCTAGTTATTACACATACATACACACACACACACACACACACACACATATATATATACACACATATATATATATATATATATACACACACACACACACATATATATAT